CCCGGCCACCGTCGGCGGCGGCGCGCGTGTGTGGCACTCATGTGTCCTTTTCTCAGCTTCTCAATTAAGATGGATAATTTTCAACCAAATAAGCTGAGTCAACGTTCAATCAAAATCCCATACGATATTAAACCATACAATGCTTAATGTTACGAACCATAGAGTTTTATTTGATTTATTAAATATTATATGGGCAAGCCCATAATATATCCCACATAAATAAGTGCTGTGCTGTGGCAATCAACGACGAAGAAAGCAGTGCTGTGCCAATCAATGCGTCTGTGTAGGCGCTCCTGTTGTTGCATCCGAATGATCTTTCACATTATTCATTGCTGTTGAGCAAGAATGACGGCCATTAAATTTGATGCACCTCTCTCATCTTCAAGTCTAGGGATGAAAATGGATTGGATCCCGATAGACTTTAGGTGTTTGCTAGTTGAATATATCTATATTTTTGTAAGATAACATAACTTTGAATGCTCTTGAGTAGTAATAAAAGAAAGTTTCGGTTGGTATTTGAATACATACTTAATTTATATTAATTAGTATCGGCCATCTATCGTTTCAAAGATAGCTTAAAAATAACAATATCGTTATCGTTATCCACGTAGATATTAAAATATAAGTATACAACACATTTACACAAAGACAGCTAATCAAAAATAGCATATTTATCAATAAATACATTAATCAAAATACACGAAAATAAAAAAATTACAAGTAAACAATTATTTAAATAAATAGAATATATATATATGAATAAAGAAATCAAGGTATAAAAAGTAACGTAGGTCATATTGGCTCGAGATAAACATTGGGTCGATTTGGATGATTAGAGGATTCTCATTGTGAAACATTTACGAGATCTAAGGGCTAAATTTGATAAGAGTGTTTGGTGAGTGCATTCAAATTTGTTTTGCATAATAATGAGCTATACTGGAGAACTGCAGGAGACTTGTTGCTTAAGTGCTTGGGTTTTGATTAAGAAAAGTTGGCTATGGGAGAAGTCCATAAAAGCATCTGTGGTATACATCAATCAGCTTTGAAGATGAAGTGGTTACTACACCGGTTGGTTTCATTTGACCTACTATGCTTGTTGATTGTTTCCGCTACATACTACAAGCGATATTGAGAGGAGTGTCAACGGTTTGATAATATTCAGCTGGTACATACTGTAGTGATGCCTCCTATTATCAAGCCGTAGTCATTCTCATGTCGGGGGCTATATGGGCTATATTTCATTGTCCAAATTCTTTCCCTATCATTGAAGGGACATAGTTTTATGTTGTTTGCCACAGATTGTTTCACAAAGTGGACTGAGACTGTTCCTTTGACGAATATAGCACACAGGCAGGTAATTACATATTGTTCATAAATACGGATCATGGGACATCTTTTGTATCGAAAGAGCTAAGGAATTTTCCTGAATTATATAAGATCAAGTTGCTCAATTCATCTCCATACTATTCTTAAGCTAATTAATGGCCAAGTTGAGTCAAGTAATAAGACTTTGACCAAGCTTATTAAGAAGAAAATTAAGGGCAATCCCGGGAGATGACATGAAGTTTTGTTTGAAGCCTTGTGGGCTCATCACATATTTAGACATGGTGTTATCAAAGTTACTCCTTTTAGCTGATATATGGACAAGAAGTTGTGTTGCCCTTTGAAGCTAATTTGGATACATATAGGTTGGCTAAGAAAAAAATGATGTCTGTTGTTATGTATCATGATCTAATGATGGATAATATTGACTAGGTAACCGACAAAAGAATCAAGGTTCTGAATGATATTGAGCGAGACAAAGTTCGAGTTGTCTGGTTCTATAAGAAAAAGGTAAAAGCAAGTCTTTCCAAGTTGTGGAGTAAGTGCGGAAAACTATTCTACCACTTGGGATGAAATGCAACAAGTTTGGCAAGTGGTCTCCAAGATGGAAAGGTCTATATAAGGTGATCGTCTCCAAAGAGAAAGTAATGGAAGATACCCGAAAAAAATATTTCACGCAAAAAGTCCCAAAATGGCTCCTATTATTAGTGGAGGATATCAATATAGAGCCTTTGTGTAGTAGTGTTATCTATACTAGGGTTTACTAAGTTGACTGACTTGGGTCAGATGGGCTTGTCCCAATTAACAGAGTCGGGCCTGCTAAGAGGACCGCCCCAAAAATGGCTCCTATTATTAGTGGCGGATATCTTAAAGCCTGCCTATGTTAATACATTTTAGGAGGTGATTATTTATCAAAGTGTCTCCGTAAGTGAAGATACCACCTCTAAAGTTCACTGCCCATTTCTAGAGACAATATTATTTTTTCGTCCGCCTCTATAAATAAAAAGGCTAGTGTCCCAAAATCATCTTTGTAGTAGTGTAATAATAAGATATTCTATAATTTTCTTATAAATATCTAGAATATAGTCAAATAGAAAACAACAATAAAAGAAGGATTTAAATACATCCATCTTAGTATGCATATAAGAAATAGATGCACACATATTTTTTGGATAAAGGAAGCTTTATTTTTTTAAGAGCAATACATAGAGTTGATACAAAGCTTTGAAAAAACTACTTCTGGCCTCTGCTTTTGAAGCACACAACCACGAACGAGAGAAAAAATCACACACACTCTAGTGACTATCAATTTGAAGACTAGAACGCCACCCATATGCTCATGAGAAGATTGCCTTAGCCACTTGTGCCATTGCTGTGAAGCCGCCACAACCAAATCCTGTGAATCCAGCCTTTGGAGGATAGCCCATGTACGAAGCCAATGGATAACCAGGAAAATGACCTGCAAAGGAGAAGAGTGTTTTTCCTTTTCAAAAACCAAATCATTACTGCACAACTAAAGTGACCAACAGATGGCTGCTGCTCCTAACAGGACTTAAGGCTTCAAAGTTTTACTAAATCATCCTAACCAAATGCCAAACATGTGACACATATGGATATCCATTCTCCAGTTTTATGGGATAAGTGACGAGAGTCTAACATATGGGTATGCTAAGTTCCCGAGAAGGAGATAATGAATTGACTAACCCCCCAACTGACTCTATGAATTGCTCGGGGGCTATACCCATCGGGTACGCTCGCACGTACCCTCCGTCAGAACAAGGATGGCTAGGTGGCCTATAGGCCAACCTCATCCATGGAGCCTTGCAGTGCTAGGAGGATGAGCCTGAGCAAGCTAGTGGCTGTCGCTCGGGGCTCGAGGTCTCGGTTATAGCGTCAGGGATCCCAACCACAAGGAGACCAAGCCAGGCCTCCTCCTAGGAGACCACCCGTGCCTTCACTTGGGGGCCAACTGATGTCCTAACGCAAGACCTGGGGCCAGCTAAGGAATCTATCAGGCGCCTAGATCCTGACAGGCATAGAGGCATTGCACTGTCTACCCATTCTAGAATCGTGAGACCCTATCAAACACTCCCTTGGCAGGGTCACGCAACAGGCATGACGCATCAGGACAAGGAACTCCCCAAACCCCAGAGGGAGAGGCTCCTTGCGCACCAAGGAGCCTCGAGTAGGCTCACCTGGAGAACCACACATCAACCTCCGACGAACAAACTCGCTGCTTGCTGCGGTTTCCAACCCACAAGAGCTGGCGTGCTAGGAAGGGGAGCACATCATGTGTGAGCGCCATTCTGCGGTGGTCAGAACTACTAGATTCTCCACCGAAGGCGCCGCCCCCAAGGGCAACATTCACTTCTCTAGCGATATTGTCACTGCCGGCGGCTCCTCTTCCCCCGGCCAAGCTCTCATCTTTGTGATCCTGGACTACATCACTAACCATGCCGGCGAACTCCACCTTCTTGAGCAGACTTCATCAAGGGATGGCGAGTCCTAGGCGTCGCACCCTCCGTTGGGCCTCTTGGGAGCCTACTTAGAGGTGCTTGCCTGATAGATCCGCCTTGGTCTAGGCCTGAACCCCACCGTGTCGAAGCACCATCGGATATTTTACATGCTGCCGAGTGTCCATCACCAGATCGCCACCAGAGAGGAGCTACCACCACCCCACCACTTTTGGTACGTCCTCCGGGATCTCCCATGTGGGATCTAGAACGCCACGGCGTCATTCCATCTCTAAATGGAGCACCTCGTAAGCTGGGAGGCCCCACACGGTGTCATCCTCTCGGGCGTAGCGAGAGCCGAACTCCTTTCACCGCGCAACTTTCTAGAGATACTTTCGGGGCTTGGGCCGGACTATGGCTCTGAGGAACCGACGGCTACTCTCTAGCATGCAAATGCTTCTTCTTCAACGGGGAGCAGGCCGCTATTGACGCCCCTGAGCACACGCCTTCAGACCTGAGTATGACAAGCAGCGTCGCTTACCTCAAGGAGAAGGCTGAGCACCTCTGGGTGTGATAGGCCGACCTAGAGGTTGATCGTGTTGAGCTCGAGAGGAGGATGGAGGAGCTCGTGCACCAGCAGTCCGTCCAGTGGGAGAACGACAATCGCACGGGGTCTCCTGACATGTTGGGCTTCCCCTGGGTGGTATACAACATGGTGGCCACCACTTGCCGTCTGGACGACATCCCCAACATGCCAAACCCGAGGACCAACAAGAAGCTTTAGGAGGCCTGACATCTTCTGCAAATCACCCTCGAGCAACAGGCGGAGAGCTCAGCGTCCCATCGCCGCAACGCCACCTCAAGGCTGTCCCAGCTGGCGCTGGCCTTTGAAGGATGCTCCGACGCTCACGCCCCACTGGGGAGCCGCAACGACGGGGACACCTCCACCGATAGCTCCGACCGTCCAAGCACGAGGGGGCCAAACCACGGTAGGAACACTGGGCTGAATCAGGCTCGTGCTGACCTCGTGCAAATGACCAGATCGGAGAGGATCGGGATGTGCGTGACACCGGGCGAGGGGAGGCGGTCCATTTTCAGGAGCGACTCTTTTAAGCCAACAACCCCTAAAAATGCTTTACCTAGGATAATTATGCTATGCCAGTTGTTCCCTTTAATTATGCTAAGATTACCGGCCTCGAAAATACATTTCCACGAGAGGTCGACTTAAGCAATCACTTCTGAAAATGGATTTATAGGGATAGTTGCTTTAATGAAACTTTCCCTAGAAATAAGCTTGTTGGTGCGGTTAGTTGCCAAATGCCCAACACGCAACGCGCCGCCACCCTCGGTCGCCGCGTGTGGCAGCATGAAGCGACCGGGCGGGTGCCGCCGGAGCCCCTCCAGTACGACGGCCTGGAGGTAGGGCATGCGCGGCAGGTGCTCGTCCTGGATGCGTGCCTCCGCGCCGACCACGTGGCGTATCTCAGCGCGGAGCTTTGCCTGGATCTCCGGTTGCGCAACGAGGTTTGCCATGGTCCATTGCAGCGCCGTGACCGTCGAGTCGGGTCCCCCGGACAAGAGCTCGGAGCACAGGCTCACCATCTCGCTCTCCGTCAGGTTTCTGCCGCCGTCCTCAGGGATACGGAGGCCGAGGAGTGAGTCGACGTAGCAATCCACAGCGAAGTTGTCACCGCTGGCGTCGCGTCGTGCCTGGCGTGCACGTATCAGAGGGATGAACACCTCCTCCTGCCGCCGCCGCATGGACAGCATCTTCTTCCACCGGTGCCGGAACACGAGCTTGGTGAGCGGCGGGCACACACCTAGCACCTGAAAGCCGACCACACCGCCGACAAGAACTCCCTCTGCAGCGCCGTGATGGACGCTACCACGCCATCACCGAGTCCCTCGCCGAAACACATCCTGGCGAAAACATGGAACATGGCGTGGTGCAGCAGTCCTTGGATAACGACTACTGCCCTGCCACCCCCTGCTTCATTGTGCATTTGCTGTGTGATGCCGGCAGTGAGGCCGGAAACGGCGGCTCTGCGAGCTGCAGCATACCGGCGGAGGGACGATGGGTGGAGGGCTTTGCCGGTGAGGTTACGCCGGAGCACGCGCCAGAGGGGTCCATATGCACCGGTGGTAATGCTGCGCTGATCACCGTTAAATATCCGGGTGGCAAGGTTAACCGGTGGCCGGTCAGCAAACGCTGCGCCGCACTGCACCAGGACACGGCGTGCCGTGGCTCCATCGGCGACAAAGATCACTGGGAAAGAAGGGAGGAGATAGATAGTGAAGACGGGGCCGTACCAGGACCGGGCAAGGCGGATAATGGGCTCAATGTTGAAGGTTGTCCAAGCTAGCAAGAGGAGAGGGCCAAGTAGCAGCGACAGCGCCGTTGGTCCCGGTGGAAGGGAAGGCTTGGCCGCCGGCTTTCCGGTGGCTGGCCGGATGGAGGAGAGAAGGAAGGACAGGGCAATGCAAATGGTCATGGAGAGCGAATAGTAGACCCAGTCCTCCATGACTGATGAACGTAGTGACTAATGAGACGTACGCTCTAGCTTCAAGCTAGTGTGTGCCATCTTTTATACTGTGCGGCCTGCTGCAAGGTAGCATGTACTGAACCCCAGGCGGATACACTCTTCGCAATTATTGAGGGATTATTTGCAGGTCTCGACAAAGAAGTCAAGAACAGTGTGACAAAGAAGTCAAGAACAGTGTTGCCTACTGAACCCCTAGCTTCATCGCTGAACAGTGTTGGCAACCACCAAAACGTCGATGGATCCACATATTTAATTGGGATACTTGGGTGTGCACTGGTTAAAAAATGGGACTATCTACCTACTGTTCGGATATTTCAAAGATCGTCAACACCTGAGTGTTGGCAGTTAAAAAAAAAACCCGAGTGTTCACAGGCCTGGAAACAACCGAAACAAGGGAAAAAGAAATCGGCTGTTTATAGATGTATCGACACATGATTTTCAGACCATGAGATTATAATCTGACGGCTGTAATATTTTATTGTTTTTTTTGTTGTTTGCCATTATGGGCCATAGCACGAGATCATGAGAGAAGCAACTACAAATTGATTTGGCCCACATGGGATATGTGAAAAATGCGGAGCGTGCTATGCGCCGACGGGTGGTAGCATGCCACGCATCTATCCCCTAAACTTTTTTTTCCGGTCGCGCGACATTAGGCCGTTTCTCACGCGCAGCTCCCCCAATTTTTTTTTCCCGTCGCGCGACATTGGGCCGTTTGTCGCGTGCAGCAAGCTGCATTATTTGAGCCTACATGCCGATCAGGCCCGCGTCCCGCGCAGCCGACTAGGCAGCAGCCCGTGTCCCGCGCAGAGCACGGCTGGCAATTTTCACTTCAACTTGACACGTAGAACGTGGCATGCACGAAATCTAAAATTGGTGACATAAGCATGTATTCTATGCTTTTTGAAGTAAAAAAAGTCGTAGCTAAACCATGTATCCTAATTAGAATAGGATTGCACCATCGTGTTCCTTACAATAAACTATTTAAAACAATACCCCACATGGATTCATTACGATAATTTTTTTAACGAACATTTATTTCATGATGATAAAACAATTATTTATTGAGTGCAACGATGTTCTAGGTCCTTAAAATAATGTTCCATCTTTATAAAACAAATGTTCCGTATTTCAAAGCTAACCAGTGTCTGGTCAGCGAACGCTGCGCCGCGCTGCACCAGGACACGGCGTGCGGTGGCTCCATCACCGACAAATCACTGGGAAAGATGGGACGAGATAGATTGTGAAGACGGAGCCGTACCAGGACCGGACAAGGCTGATAATCGGCTCAATGTCGAAGGTTGTCCAAGCCCTTGGCACTATGTAATTAGTCAACGATTGGACAATTATTACCTAATACAAATGAAATGCTGCAGTGCGCTACAGTGATGCCAGAATTCAGGCGGCGTCAATTCGACCGGTAACTAAACGGGGCCCAAGCTAGCAAGAGGAGAGGCCCAAGTAGTAGCGACAGCTACGTTGGGCCCGGCGGAAGGGAAGGCTTGGCCGCCGGCTTTCCGGTGGCTGGCCGGATGGAGGAGAGAAGGAAGGACAGGCAACGCAAATGGTCATGGAGAGGGAATAGTAGACCCAGTCCTCCATGACTAGTGAGACGTACGCTCTAGGTTCAAAGCTAGTGTATGCCATCTTTTATACTGTGCCTGCTGCAAGGTAGTACGTACTCGTCCATCCGTCCAGCAAAACATATAATTTTAGCACGGTCTCACGTTTTAGTATCTTAAGTTTGACCAATTATAGATAAAAAAAATATTAATATTTATAATATCAAATAAATATTATTAGATTAATTATAAAATATATTTTCATAATAAATTAATTTAGAGTCATAAATATGAATACTATTTACTAGAAACTTGGTCAAACATAAACTATTTTTTCTGATCAGCTGGGAGCGGCTGGCTGGGCTAGCTGGCCAACCCTCTCACGTAAATATTGTCCACTCGAACCAGCCAGCAGTATTTCTCTTTCATATAAACGAACCAGCCAACCGAACAGGTTTATGCTCATAGAGAGGGAATAGTAGACCCAGTCCTCCATGACTAGTGAGACCTACGCTCTAGCTTCAAAGCTAGTGTATGCCATCTTTTATACTGTGCTTGCTGCAAGGTAGTACGATACTCCCTCACTCCAGCGAAACATACAATTCTAGCGTAATCTCATGGCTTAGTATCTTAAGTTTGACCAATTATAAATAAAAAAATATTAATATTTATGATATTAAATAAATATTATTAGATTAATTATAAAATATATTTTTATAATAAATTAATTTAGAGTCATAAATATGAATACTATTTACTAGAAACTTGATTAAACATAAACTACTTTTTCTGACACGCAACCTATATTTGCATGTTTTTACAGGAGAGTACTAGTAATTTGTAACTGTTAATTACTGAACCCCAGGCGGATACACCCTTCTCAATTATCGAGGGAGGATTGTTTGCAGGTCTCGACAAAGAAGTAAAGAACACGTCCTAGCTTCATCGCTGAACAGTGTTGGCAACTACCAAGACGTCCCGCTGAACAGTGTTGTCCACGACCGAAACATCCAGTGATCTACATATTTGATTACGATGCACGGGTGCACCGGTAGAAAAAGTGCCCCCTGCGTCGCTAAAAAAAATAATTGGCATAAGGCTCACTATCCCAGACAAAGCACATCACTGTCGGTTCAAAGCCCCATTCATTACCAGATTTCAAATCGACAGTGGCATACCGATAGTGATGAAGGCTGACATCACTGCCAGTAACTCAAAACCGCCATCGATAAGGAGAGACCACTATCGGTTCCAGCCTCCATCTGGCAGTGTCCAGTTGAGCCAATACTGCCGGTTTGTAGCCCAAACCGGCAGTGTTGTCTTGACCAACATTGTCGGTTTGAGGCCTAAGCCAGCAGTGTTGTCTTGACCAACATTGCCGGTGCGTGGATCAAACTGGCAGTGTTAGCTTGGCCAACACTATCGGTTCAAGACTCGAGCCGGCAGTGTTCTGTTGTTCATCACTGCCAGCTTGTGGTTCAAATCGATAGTGATGTCTTCCACTGCACTGTCGGCTTGTAGCTATAACCGGCAGTGATGTCTTGAGCAACACTGCCGGCTCGTGGCTCAATCTAGCGGTGCCATCTTTATCATCACTGTCGATTTTGTGCTAACCGACAGTGATCTCTTTTTCGTATTTTATTGTTTTATAATTTATTTATTTTGTGGTATCGGATTTCGCTTTATATTTGCTGCATAGACGGCAGGTACATCAACTTTAAACATTACAAATGTTGCGGTTACCGTTCAGATGTACTTATCAAGACCTCGATCCCTCAAAATAAAAAAGAAATTACAATAGTCTAGTGAGCTGCTCAGGCCCTTACGCGTTCTTGAACTTCACATACTGGGCAATGGAGAATGTTCTATTTCTTTCCAATACCTGGGCTAGGATGAAGGCTGCTAGCTCCCATGACAGTGCTATGATCTCCATTTGTAACAACCTTTGGTGTTTAAATTTCTTGCGCTGTCATTCAAAAAAGATGATATCAAAAGGCACACATGTAAGAGAAAACAATAGATCATTTTGTTGAATTAACATATATAAATAAAATAGAGATTATACACACTAAAGCATCTATGGCTTCCGATTTCACGACAAGGTAGCGAAGCATTACCCACATTACGTAGAACCCACATTCATTGTTTCCCGCCAGCTGGTTTAGAGTATCCAATTCCATTGGTGCAAACTGGAATGGGACCTTCATCCACCGATCATTCTTCCCTAGACACCGTGCCATTATAAAGTGTGAAAAAAGGGGCAACATTATTAGAATGGGCTATGTGCGATTAGAAAATAATATGTTATTAGGTTCACTTACTTATTCAGTACTTGGACTAGGGGATCGAGCAAAGAAAGTTTCTTTTTCTTCGAGTCCGACACCTCGATACGATTTTTGCAAATATTGATATAATAATGAAGACGAAATGGTTGTTGCAATCACAAAATCCTAGTTAACAAATAATATCTACTAAACAAAGAAGCAAAAAAAAAAGAGCAGAGAACACATACTCGCAGTTGTAGGCTATAAGTATGTGGGTTTTTTATTCATCTTGAATTCCTCAAAAATTTTAACCAATGTTGCCATCAGATCTTCCACTTTATTTCTATGCATGCCTCCGTATGTTTTCTCGTTGACTAGCTCGGGGTCCAAGAAGACTATATGAGCATTTTTTTTGTTTAAGCAATATTGTGATACACACCTGCATAAATCATGGGAAGTGTTCAAAAGTTAATTATTTTTGTATCGAGATAGTTAATTATAATATCGTGCGGGTAGGGTACTTACTGACAGGATCAAGATGCCCAAGAGGGGGGTGAATTGGGTTAATTCTAAATTTCTTTGCAATAATTAAATTCTATGGTTAGCCCAATTAACCCCTTGTGCCTAAAAAGTGTTTCTAATTGTTCTACCGCACAAAAGACTTGCAACCTAAGTTCCAATCCTACTCTAGCATGACAATTCTATGAATGTAAAGACAAGAATTAAATTGCTCAAATTAAATGCTCAAAGTAAATGGAGAAGGAGGAACGTGGCGATGTTTTGCCGAGGTATCGGAGAGTCGCCACTCCTCACTAGTCCTCGTTGGAGCACCCGAGCAAGGGTGTTGCTCCCCCTTGATCCGCGCAAGGATTAAGTGCTCTC